ATAATGATAAAAGATAATGATAAAAGATAATGATAGTAAAGAAGGATAATGATAGTAAAGAAGGATAATGATAGTAAAGGATAATGATAAAGGATAATGATAAAGGATAATGATAAAGGATGATTAAAAAACATGTAAATAATAATAAATAATATAATAATAATAATAATCGATAAATAATATGGTTTATTTACCTGAGTCCTGCCTTCAATAAGCTCCGCAATTCGGATCCAACATCTTCCATAGCGACGTACACCTTCTTTCAATATTTCATCTTCATCGGGCGACCATTTACCTTTTCTAACGCTTGGATCGAGTGCTTCAGACCAACGTGCTTGACATTGAATACCTGTTCGATGAGGAATTCTAGAAGCGATTTTATTCCAAGGAATCGGTTGTGGATGCCCATCTGAATCAATTAGATCTACAAATTCACTAACTGCATCCTTTAACGCAGCATCTTCCTCCGGAGTCCAGCGCCCTTTATGGATTGTAGGATTTAAGGCACCTAACCATCTAGTAGAACACTGCATTGGCGTTCGATTTGGGACGTGTGCTGCGATAAGAGACCATTTATGCGGACCATAGATACTTATAGCGGCACGTAATAGTTCGTCTTCTTCTTCAGTCCACTTAGTATATACAGGAGGTTTTTGTGGACTAGAAGGTATTCGTCCGGGATGCGATAAATGGGTGCGTTGGTGATAATCATTTTCGTATGGATCCGCAACATAATTTTGACGACGTTGCTGCTATTTTCATTATTGAGAATTGTAAATAAAGGAATCGTATTTTTTTTTTTTTTTAAAAAAAAAAAACTAGTGAAAATATGATCATACTTGATTAAAGGTGTAATTAAAATTTGGTACTTGATCAAAAGAGATTAAAGATCCGTATGATGGAGTAGGTAGAGTATCCATTGATACTAGATTCGGTGGTGTCGGATAAGGACTTTCCAAAACTGAATTATACATGTTTGAAATTATATTCTGCTGGTATAATTCATTGTTAGCGG